GGTTGTCTGAAGAGTCCGCCCATTGCTGCGTACCACGCCCCTGACAGATGAGCGCGATTTCCTATAAAATATTTATCAGTTGCCAAATTAAGTATTAATATAGATTTCCGATAGTATTGGCTGCAGGGGTCCTCTTTAAGGGGTACGCAAAGGGAATAGACGGATTATCTGTTCTTACTGGAAAGATTGGAGCAAGTTATGGACGCAATGACATAGTGAATAGCCTCGTTGAACCGTAAAGAAAGTGAGAGGAGCGGGTATCGTGAATTCAATACGGAACACCGCAATCGGTTGCCCTAATTGCGAGAGGATCTGGGTTCATGGCTTTCGTCGCTGTAGACGACTGCTAATCTCTGGTAGTTTCGTTTGTTTCGTCATTTGTCCTCTTCGCTCAGCGTTGGAGAAATCGTTCACAATTTCCTTAATTTTCCAGATTCTCTCATTTTTGTGATCGATATGATGTTTCTGGAGGTGTTCTGTAATGTCGTCGAACTACTGCACATCGCATACGTCTATGTGATCGATGGCGAAGACGAGATTCAACCGACATTCCATAAACGTTATTATAATTCTGGGACAATAAAAGGACATTTCTATATTGATCCATTGATTGACCTTACAAATTTATCGAAGCTTTTCAAAACAAGCTCTGAATGAAAAAGAATTTGGAAGGCGATGCGAAGGCGAGTGAAAGCAGTGCATATGTATAAGAGACACTAAGATTTATTGAGTCTTCATCTAACATAAGTCTACCCTTTTCTCCCTATTCTTCAGTACGAGCACTCTGTCACAGACATTTCGACACACCCTGAATGCTGTTTACGGGATTAGCTCTTTCGACTGCTATTTTTAGTGCAAATCAAGCACAGAGTCATTGTGATCATGTGAATGCTTCTTACCCTGTTGATATGACAATGGAAAGTAGATCTGAGAGTAGTGAGGAAGTGGCTGATAACGAGAAGTGGTATGCCTATGTATATTACGAATTTGTGGCATCCTCAACCTTCACCGTAGCGATGTAGGAATGATACTCCTCTGAGCTCCCACACAGTGGTATCTCTTAAATATGAGAGCTTCCTCGATTTGAAAACATCAGGCCATGGCTTTTTTAATTCGCATCACTTTAAGAATTATTTGTGTGCAGAAAAAGTGAAACCTTTATTATTTCTTGTGATTTTAAGTATTTTAAGTAGACATTAAAGCACAATCCTTTTCAAATACATTGCTGAGTTATTGCATATGTGATACCTGATGACAAACCGTAACCGACTTTAGATTACAACGACTCAAATCACTGGATTCTCAGACAGTTCGGGGAAGAACTGGGCCACAACGTCCCTATTGAACATTGGGGTTAATCGAACTCCATCAGCCCAATCCCCAGACAAAGGTCGATTGAGAATTGTCGAATCCTCATTCATTCCTGGCGGACGAAGCATATCTTCGATTGATTTCGTCATTGTCAGTGGCAACTTCGCTGAGAATCCCAACGTCTGAGGTCTCATCGGCTGACTGGGGATAGTGAACTGGTGGTTACAACCGATACTATTGATGCTGTCGGTTGTGGGAGCATTTGAGTAGGCTATCAGGTCAGTGGTGGTGTTGGACAAGGAAAATGTGCTGGTAAGTTCTGGAGGATTACTGACTCGCCGATTTGACATTGTTACCAATAGATCGAATACTTCGGGGTTCACGATATCGGTAAGGATTTTGTAATAAGGCAACGGTTTGATGGCGTCGCGAGGGAATGACCGTCGCAACGTCGGTAGCACAGCCGACGAGATAGCCTGAAAATATTAAATAAAGTCAATGAAAAACAATGCTGAATAAATAATCAAATTAGTGGATTTAATGATGTTGTGATTTAAAAATGAAATTGGCGATGGCTGCACCAACATGTACGCAGTGGTATTTGATATTTAGTTGATATTTATTTATTTTGATATGATGATATTTGATAGTTATTGGAATTGAGTCAGTCAGTAATCAATAAATAGTCTTGTACTAGGCATTATGTGGTACTGACCAACCCTATTTTCTGAGATACTGGAAGTTCTCTGTCCACTGGAGTGAAATGCATTAGGGATTTTTGGGAATGAGCTTTTTCATTAACAAGAGCTTCTACTTTGTAGAGTGAGCGGTTGTTTTAATTGAAAAATCTGTGACTCACTTTTGCTTCATACACTTGGGAAATAAGATTTGCCATTATATTGGCAGCAGAAGCCGAAGATTTTGCCCTCGAGAGTTTGATGACTCGGAACAGCAGCTCTTGTAATGAATCATGCATAGCGGAAAGATGTGCGCTGAACCCATTCGAGAGTGTTCCACGATCTGAAACACTACCGCATACCGAATGAACCACTTGCCATGCTCCGACCACCGCCAAATCCCAAGAGCACCTGAATGCGCATTTGGCTTATGTGATAATCTCAGGAAAGTCGGCAGCAGTCTAGTTAATGTACAAGTCGGTGTTCTCAGCAGAGTTTTGAGTCTCGGTTGGCCCATGCCGCTTCCAAAACGGGGTTTGAATCTGTACCAAATAAATAGGGAGTGGAAAGCGACCACATGGCACGACCTGTCTCCGGTTACCTTGAACGCATGAGTAGAAAAAGGCAGAAAGGCTAGCTTAGAGTGGTGTCGATCTGAGATTAGGCTCAAGCTTGAGGTAATATTGAAGTGTACTGCCCTCAAACAATTCTCATAGCCCGTGTGTGAGGTCCTGGTGAAAGAGAGGTACGCGGCTAAGCTATTATAAAAGGAAGCAGATGTGTGGCACACCATAGGTTTCGTTTCGCTTCGAAGGTTTGGTGAACTTGCTTTAAAAGCAGCCTACTAGAATAGAAATCACCTGGAGTGGCAATGGTCAATGCTCGTACAATGGAGTATTCCATCGGAGAGGGAGACAACCGTTTGAATCGCTCACAAAGTGATACGAATTCCGAAGTCGTTCTAGATTCTCTGAAATTCTCTCACTGAACGTAAGCAGACATAATTATTGATCTGTGGGTCAAAATGGAGTAATGAAAAGGTTACTGCTCACAGTTGGAAGTTTTCCAGGGACCTTGTGAATTCTTCTGTGTAGAACGCTGAGTCTTTGCTGATAGAACGTGCTGCCTGATCCAGGATATTCAACGGAAGGAACACAGAACTGATTAAGGAGCACTGTAAAATTAGAGTGCTTTTCCACTACATGGACACTGGAAACTACAGTAACCATCACCTTATCTTCAACCGTAGTCTTTCGCGATGAATCCTTTTCGATAACACCGATAAGCCCGTCAATGAAGTCTGTGACATTGACGATCCTTTGAATTGAAAGCAAGCTGGGATTGTGTTCAAGCTTTACTGGAGTTGCGCTCCTGGTCTCAAAAAAAAGAAGATTAGAACCAGAAAGATCACCTTTTTTGAAAATCAGTAATGTATTGAGGGGGTTTACTCCAGCCTTCTGAGGGAGATATAGAAATTTTTGCCTCCTACAGGAAAAGCGGCACCCCTACCCAACAACTCGCCTCCAGAAATCTTGCTCTCGAGCCAATTTTCTCATACATTTTGGCTTGCTACGGATAGTTCGCAAAAAAAAAAAAACTTCCGAGGTGAATAAGTGGAACGTAGACGAAGTTCCGGCTCAAATGATAAATGAATTTATTGAAAATATTTGAAATATTAAGTCAAACCGTGCTCTTTCTGGCAAGTGTTCGATCGGCGATAAGGCTTTTCAGCGAGAAATCCGCTATGGCTTCATAACCTCCAACAGCTAGAGACATTACGTCATTTTCCAGGGCGTTTAGATCACACAGCAATTTTCTAAATATTTATATTTCAAACATGTCTTCAATCACAAGTTTTTTGGAATTTCAGTGAATTCTTGCTTTTCTTTTGCAAGCACACAAAATAGTTTGTTTCAAAACTGCCCCCAGAAATTAACCATTTTTTACACTCAAAGGTGGGCTGAAGGCAAAGTAAAGGCGAAAACTGTGCAAAAAATAGAGCTAATAGCAAATAAATAAGTAACTATAATAAGTAAATAGTACGGTACAAAAGCCATACAAGTAAGAGATACAAACAAATCAAACTATAATGATCGAAGTAGAAAGAAGTAAACCTGGAGTTAGAAGGCAGCTGAAGCGTCCAGTCGCCATCTGCGTCGACTTTATTAGACAGCGATCGTCCAATGCTCTTCTTTTTTGCTAGTAAGGATTTCTGACTTCGCAACTTCTCACGGGCTTCCTCTCGATCGGGCCGAACAACTAAAACACTGCCCCATACTTGAGATATATGTACGTGCTTTAATTACAAAATTTTGAACATCGAAGAGCGAAGTTGTACCTGAATCAGAGGAAGGATTTTGGAAATGGATCATCTAACGGGCCCCAGTGATCCCTTACATCAGTTCGGTAGGTAAACTGGGAAATTATTTGACCGTGGTGGAACTTTCGCCTAGGCCCGACTACCTTAGTATGCAAGCCCCTTTCGATAGAAACCAATGGAAGGTTGGTCCTGAAATTCACTGTAACACTTTGGCTATGGAACTGGAAGGTTCGAATTCAATATCCATATCGTGAGCCATGTTTTTATGCTAACATATCTCGACCTCTTGAATATCACTCGCTGAATAGGACCTTTTTATTTATAAAAATAACAATAAGTAAGAAACACTCACAATCAGGGTTCATTCCTACGAGCAAACACTTTCGAAATCGGCAGTATCGGCACGCATTTCGTTCAACTGAATCGAGGTGAATCAATCAAAAGGACTTAGCCTAGCAATACGAGTTTTAAAGTCTTAGTTTTTTCATATTCCAAGGAATCAAACTCGTGAGTTGCTTTTTTAGTTTCCAAACGATTCAGGGCATTTGGTTCAGTCAGAGGAGAATAACGAGAGAATAAGTCGAAGAAATGAGTTTATAAGTTGTTTCTTCACTTCTTCTAACATCAAAATGGTAAAGGAACTCGAAGGAGAGAAGTTTTTGATGTTCTGGCGGCACTTGTTACGGTAATGATCAATACGATTATTTTTTTGGCGCCTCAGCTGAAGCCAACATGCTGAACGGACGGAACGAACTTCAACGGAAACTCACATTTATTGACTTCACAATTCTTCTCAAATCGGCAAACATACTTATTTCGACCATCCTTCACTGCTCGTCGGAAGAATCCCTTGCACCCGAAGCAGGCGAGTACTCCATAATGAACCTTAAGGGGGAACTGCTTCGTAAATTTCAGAACTTGTCAAGCCAACTTATTTATTTCCTGACTTTAGCCGGTGAATCTCCACAGACAGCACACTTCCTCTGGCTCTTGGTAGTTATCATGAGAGGGTTTACCTGGGAATGAAAAGATTTCGCATGAGCGTGAGGGAAAATCAATGCAACTCGTGATTAGCACAGTAAAAATCGATAGAAAACAGTCGGCGGTCGATCAAACAACAATTCGGCGAAGCACCGAGAGGTAAAAGAGTGAGGTAAGCATGAGGGCGTTGGATGGCAAAGTGGTTTGTCGGGGTCGGGAATTATTCAGAGTTGAATTTCGCGTGCATATGCACTGTATGAAATCACTCCTGGTTGTCCTGAGGCTTTGAAGGGAAACATCTGAGCTAACTCTCAGTCTGACAATTACCAGTAATCTTTGAGGATTGTGATTCGCTGTAAGTTACGAAACCGTTAGGGTTAGTTGTTGACTCCTTGGAAACATTTTTGACTTCCTCTACAGTGATGCTACGAATTTCATAAAATCAATAAGAAATACGGAGTTTGAAGTGCCCTTTGCTTCGGGAGAAGCATTCAGTGTGGGCTTCAGGTGCTTTCAACAAGCCTACAGGCTATCTAGACCCCCCCCCCCCCCCCCCCCCCCCCNCCCGAGGTAGGTGAGATATCAACTTGTCTGAAGCAGTGCCTTCTGTGACGGCTACTTCTGTACTTATAGGGCTTACACCAACGCGTAGGATATTCTAGAGCCGTTACGATTCAATGTGAAAGTCGAATTCGTTTGTGCATCCCAGACCGGAACTGTACGAATTCCAAATGTCATTCTTTATCCTCATAGGTGAGCCTCAAAAAGTTCTCAAAGGAGTTGTTCAGTGAAAGATTACGAATGAACTAGGTATAGGGCGTTGTATACTTCGAAGAACTTCGAGTCAACAATTGATGTAAACATTAGGTTACCGGAAGTAGAAGATACAAATAGGCGAGCTCAATATGTCAATAGCCACTGCTGATACAGCCATCTAATCTCATGCTCTGAAAACGTTCAAAAAGTGGCAAGGTTTTTTTATGACAGCTCTTGAGAGTTTGACAACTCGTCTACTGAATTCTATTGATGTACAGGCACCCAGCATGTGAGGTACCGTATGACACCCTTGGTGTCAGGTATCAAAGGATGTTTGATGCGCACTGTGACGAGCTGTTGAAAGCAAACATAGGAAATGCCGCCAGATTCCTGCCTAGAGCCTTCTTCGACTTATTTTGGGAGAGTTCGAGCTGCACTTTGGAAGTTTGTCAAGTGAATTCTCTGAAAAGCTTCGTGTTAAAAAGGAAGGGCAGAGGGCGTCAAGCCGCGTAAACGAAACTAGCTGTGATAGGCTATAGTAAAACTTCTCAATAAAGACTCGTGATAACTTTTCGCGTCGAGCTTATAAGTCTAAGGAGCTGTTCTAAATAGCAAATAAACAGCTTGGTTCCGTTTATGAGCCAAAGATATTCTTAATTGCCTCAACAAATTGGGTTGGGATCGGATTTTATATACTAGTGATCTGATAGACGTGGTGCAACTTCTCCCAATTCAGTTTGAGCAAGCCATAACCTCATTTAAAGTTGTAAGTAGGTCAGTCAGGGGAAGGAATAAATTTCACAATGAGGAATGGATGGGGTTAGAGCGACGAAGTGAGTGGCTGTGTGCCGAGAGGATTATTTGCACGCATTGATGTGCAACCTGTTGTACGTGTCGAAAAAACCGCTCACCTCCACATCGTTATTAACTATCAATTCGACAATTACAGTCGATTAACATTTCAATAGCGTTTAGTGGACTGTATTGTATAGTTAGGATCAGTCCAGAAATAAAAGATCGATTGAACTGTTTAGAATTCACAATCAGCCTGCAATCCTAAGAGGCAGATTCAATTCGAGACATATTTATCCAGCCTCTGTATATCTGGTAGAACATTCGCGGAGAATATTCTCAAGTCATGATGACGAGCGAGTACTGTGGTCAACTACGAGCGGAAAAGCCCAGGTGACTTCTTCAAAGCTTGAGAAAGTGTTCTCCAGAGTGCGAGACCGCATGTTTCAACCTTGGCAAAACACACGATCCAGAGACTCGGGTAAGAAAATCGACTGGATAGCCGAACCTGCATAGTCCTTGGCGACTAACAAATATCCTTGTTCTCTAGCTGCCATCTTACGGGCAAAAGATAACATTTCCGGGTGAACCTGGAGCATGACGTCACTGTCTTTTTCACCTCGAATTTGCAAGCCTTCTCAAGCCGAGGCATCCACTCTTTGCTTACAATTAGTCGGTGATGATAAGTTGTACGGATGAGTTGCTCACTGCTATGGGGGAAAGGGTAAACATGCATCTGGTCTTAATTGGGAGTTGTCTACAATACGATCTCATGCAGCGCCTGCTTATGCTTTGAATACATTTTTTGTCATCCAGGTGTATCCTCAACCAACTGATTGTGAGAGCCTTTTCATTGAAGTATGTATTATGTCGTCGATGGCTCTGCGGGTTCTAGGATCAATGCTCGAAGAGAATATTTTACTTTCTCCACTTTGTCGCTTACAGTGTCCTCAGCAATAGAAGGCGAAACATAAAATTAATAATAACTTTTATGCCAAGAATTTTGCCCGACAGATTATAATGCGAGAATCATCTTGCAAAGTTGTTGGGCAAAAGAAATCAACACGATAGGATACTGTAGGAATTTTATGCGACAATCTAGCAAGTTTTATTGAGAAACGATGAAAGGTCCTTAGCAGAATACGATAAGTTGTCCTTTGACTTTGCTGATCCCATCGAGCTATTGTAATGCAGTTGATTATGCGTTATTGAATGATAGTAAATTATTGCCTGCCTCATTGTCAGCCCTATTCCACCAGGCCGTTTTGAGTGTTTTAACGGCCTCACTTGAGAGGGTGAGATATGCAACAATTCCCTTTCTTTATGAAATCTGTAAGGAGTGAGTAAATCATCTTTTTCAGATGAGAGACTTAGAAGATTCGGGCACTGCCACTCATCATGTGAACATGGCTCGTGTTTTTAACCCCATGAAGTCGGAGCAACCGAGCAGCGGTGAATCACTAATGTTTTCTCAGCAAAAAAGTAACTTCTGTTGAAAGCTTCTCACTTCCCACACATCCAAGTGTGCAAGCAATGAAATAGGGGCCACCCATCTCTTGCCTCTCTGAGCAGCATGGAAGAAGCTCCGATTAATTATATGAGCGTTGTTTTACTCAATGTATGGGTAGCTGATGTTATTCCGTCTCAGTACGCGATGAGAAAGCTTCCTAAGGTTGGCAAGAAAAACTTTGGCCTCAGACGGACTCGAACTTTTACTTGTGCCATCCGGGCACCGTGCTCCTCTTACCCCTTACATACACTATGGAAACCCCGCTCGCCCTTGCTTTCTTAATGCCTCTACCATGGAAGATGCTCAAGCCATTTTTGGCAAATCCGCCAGTTAGCAAAGTATTTTTACTTTTCTATATAATATTTCGTTTCCAGAGACCGACAACCAACTGAGAACAAAGTTCAAAGCCTGAATACAATTCTATAACGAAAAGGTATTGAGACTACAGGCAGTGTCGGCTGACTGCCCAGCCATTTCGGTTTTCCGACCATGCAGCCAGTTCTTTTAAAAAAATTAAATCATTTGATTCATGTCAAAAAAGTGTATAACGTTTGCAGGGACGGATGCCTCCATCACATCATTGTTGCCGATTTCTGCTTTTGGGGTTCCTGTACGAGAAAAATAAGGCTAATCAACATTCACATCATTCTTTTCATTTAGTTGAGTCACTCATAATGAATACGTTTTTGATAGATCCCCTAGTAAGCAAAGTCTCTCACTTTACTAAATCATTAATGCTCGGGTGATTTCTATGACAAAGCCTAAATTTATTCGGACTCCGTCAAGAAAGATTCCTTTCCAAGAATTACGCTGATAATAATTTGGTTCCAATTAGTTGGAGTTTTCTAGTGCTGTGTGTGTATTTGATCGGAAATTTATAAATCTACTTGTAAAGTAGTGGACCGGTTGCGATATTTAAATTCGGCTGTGTTACAGGCTGCAGGACGGGAAAACAAGTATATTGCTCAAACGAGGGACTGGACTGGTTGCAGGAAAAATTTTTCCCCAGACCTGAACTGTTCTGATACTATGGGGATACAGGCTGGAGGATCGAGGCGCTATGGTTACAGCTCAAGAGGTACCACATCGGTATTGTTGCGGAGACTCAATCATCGAACGGTGACGTTAGGAGGAGCCTCATGCATCCTCCTGCAACTTGCGATAGCGCTGAGAAAACAAGATGCAGAAATGTTTCTGGCAGTTGTAAACCTCGATGTAACATCACTTTAATTATTTAGACATAACTACGGCCCTTTCTTGTAACCTCTGATTAGTTCTGTGAGAGGGAGCTTCATTGAAGGATCTTGAAATAGTGATCCAATAAGACTCATCTTACGGAACTAGTACGTCGAAACATCTTTCCCTGTTCTGGCTCCTTTTAGATGTGAATGTGATGTTTGAGATGGCCAGAAGCCTAAATCCAGATCAGTACAGCTTTCACCAGTCTTTTTACAATCACAATTCAACAACACAACCACATTTTACATTTTTCTTCGGGAAAAGTTCCTAGGAAATTTTGTGTTATAGTGGAATGGGTCTGTTTATGCTTATTAAAAACAGAAAGAAAAGTTGGAGGTACAGCTGAAATAATCGAAAAAATATTAGAGGGCTCAAAATCGGAAACCAGCCTCATAGTAATGGAGGGACAACATAAATTTACAAATTGGAGAACATTCAAGGGAATCTCATTTTTCGTGATAGGGATAAGAGCAGTAGAAATGTTCAAAGCAGTAAATAATGAAACCGTAAATGAATTTTACGAGGAAAACCCCTTTTAGTATTATTTACTTACTTTTTGCTAGTCTACAACCCAATCCACAGTAATCCGCATTAACGATATCTGTTGATGGTGATGAAAGAGCATCAGTGCAGATCTAGTCCACTATATGAATCATTTCAATCATGAAAAAGAACAAATTCAGGCAGGGAGTGGTCTTGGTTTGGATTTCTCTTTACACGAAATTTTTGCGCTCTTTTCACTATCGGACCATCACGACATCATCACTTACCTACCTACTTGAAAGACTGAGGGGTCATCACTCATGTATTATGGGGTTTTCATATGAAGTGCAAGGGAGATATGAAATTGGCTTAAATCATTTTCCATTTCCGAAGATCTTCCAGTCCAAATAGAAAAGAACGTCTTCAAGGTGCGTTCCTCTCGAGAATATTTCTCTAATGGTGTTGTATAGGTTAAATTATGCAAAAATATTTATTACTGCCATTTCACAACATTATCACATCTCCACAATGTGAAGCTTTTTTACTGTAATAAGTCCAAGGAGGTTAACGCCTTCTCAGTGCGATCTTTGAAGATTGCTTAGCGAGAAGTAACGTGGAATGGACCACCATCACTGACCACCTGCCCCGAGCCATTGGTGACAGTCGTCTTACCATCAATCGTAGTATAAACGTAAGTTTGATTGTTGACAGTGATTGTGAACACATCTACGACCTGCCCGTTGGGGTTGTTGTAGGTCCCGCTGATGGTTGAGATCGAAAGGTTGGTCCCAGNGGCCGTGTAGTTTTCCCCATTGATTGTCACCATTACCACTGTCTGTCCATTTTCTGTGGTGACAGTTGCATTATGGTTGCCAATGCCGAGCTGATTTCTCCAGTTGGAATCAAATACTCCACCCTGAACGAGGTATTCACTTGAAAACTTAAGAAAATGAATAAAAATTGTAGGAATTATTGACTCGTTGAGCCAATTGAACTCACTCGAAAAGTGCCAGGCCAAATCGAGTTCCCTTGAAAAGTGCCAGGCGAAATGGGATTGAAGTTGTTCCCGAGTGGATCCCTCTGAAAATAAACCAGATTAGAAGAACCATTACAGAGCTCTGATTTTAGCAGTGTTGTTGACAAACCTGAGCATGCA